ATCCCTAGGGAGCTAAACTTTGATGTGGATGGTCTAGCAAAAGCTGGTGCTCACAGGGATTTCTTGTTTAGTGATAGCTTTCTTCCTACTTAACATTTGAGTTGTAATTTCTGTGTACATCATCTTATGTACCCTCTATTTCATTAATAAAGTTACCATCTTTTTCAAAAAAAAAAAAAAAAGAAGGGTGGAGCCCCTGTTTTATTGAGAAAACTAAAGAAAAAGGGGTGGAGCCCCTGTTTTTGTGCAGGTTATATACGAAGAAGAAGAAGAATGGATCTCCGCCCCTGATTTAACATTAAAAACAAAAGAGAAAAGGGTGGAGCCCTTGTTTTACTGAGAAAAACCGAAAAAAAAGAAGGGGAGAGCCCATGTGTTTGTGTAGGTTGTATACGAAGAAGAATGGAGCTCCGCTCCTGATTTAACATTAAAAACAAAAGAGAAAAGAGCGGAACCCCTGTTTTACTAAGAAATACCGAAACAAATAAATGAGGCGGAGCCCTTGTTTTACTGAGAAAAGCCGAAAAAAATAAATGGTGCAGAACCCCAGTTTTTGTGCTTGTTTTGTTTGTATGAACTGGATCTGGATGAGCTTCGGCTTCCTCTGGTAGTCTTGTTTAGAGAGATGAACGAAGGAACTCATCCCTCCATTTCCAGACTTTCTTTTTTTCTTTTGGTTGTTTTGGCAAAGACCCTGCCGATTCAGCTTACTTTTCTCCCAAGTTTCCTATTTTGTGTTTTTTTTTTTATATATTTTCGATTTTGATTTAGTTTGGAGTGACTTACAGTTTAGACATTACCCAGGCGCTTGCCTGGGCCGCCTGTCGCCTGGCCTAAGGTGCACGCCTAGGCGCAAAGGCGAGCGCCTGTCCAATGGTTGTGCGCCTTAGACTAGGCGAGGTGCCCAGCCTGGAAAGCGCCTCTCCTCTGCGCCTATGTGCGCCTCTTAAAACACTGGGTAGATGGTGGTCCATATGGGTCATTACAAAAATCAACTGTGGCCTTCACAACCACAATGAGAACACTCATGAACCTGTCACATCCACTACCACTTCTGCCATCCCTGAATTCTTTACCATCACCACAGCCACCTCTAACTTCATGCCAAACACCCCTCATAGCACCTCTTCCATGTCAACCTCTTCCAGCACTACCTCCTCTAGTAACCACCAAGGTAGATCTTTATGAGATAAGTATGTTCTCATTTTGTGGATTGGAAGCTCTCCTAATGTGGGAGAACACCTCAGAGAGGGATGGAAGGTCACTATTACCTAGAATCTGAGCCCGTACTGGTTCAAGCTCAGCTTTCAACCCAGATAAGGATTGGGCAACATCTATATGTTCCCTATGTTCTTGTTGTACATTCAAGTCACTGGAAGGGCTGATATACATTCAGTTCATTCCTCAGGCTTTTCAGGGCTGCATAATACTCTTGTACTATTTTGTTGTAATGTGTAGCGGCCTGTGGCCTAGTAGGGGCATTTCTGCCCTTTCCTCTTGTATTTCTTATGAGCTGTCGCCCTAAGTATAAATACTAACTTGGCGCCGTCAACTTTAGATTAATAGAATAGATTCTTCTCTTTTCTCTCTTCTCTGTCGAATTACATGGTATTAGAGCATCTCTGATCTGGGCGCAAGCTTCTCTTCTCAGATCGTGGTTTCTTTCCTTTTCTGGAAATTTATTTTTTCTTAGATCGTGGTTTCTTCTTCTGGGCGCAACCTTCAGCCCCTGATTTCTTCTTTCTTCTCTCTTGGTCGCTGTACCAAGGAGAAGGGTGTGGTGGCAGCCAAGTGCAGTAAAAGATCTCTCTAGATTTGTAGTGGCAACCGAATGCAGTAAGAGATCTTTCTAGATCTGTGGTGGCAATCGAATGCAGTAAAGTGTCTTTCTGGATTTGTGGTGGCAGCCGAATGCATCAAAACTTGATTTTCTGAGGGTTTTTCTATGTGTTGTGGGTCGTGGGAGACAGGTATGTACTGTTACATTCATACGTAAACATTTGACCACTGTGAATGTCACAGTTTTGAGGCTGCAGGGACTGGTTGTCTCCTCCTCTTGTAAACCGAGGTGTTTCAACTGAGAGTTATCTCCTAAAGTACTGTTAAACATTTTTTTTTTGGAGACTGCCATTTTTTCCAGGCAAAAAATCCTCTATATCAGATTCGGTTTTTGAAAAAAACAGTAGTAGATTTTCTGTGAAATTGGCTACGGAGGATTCAATAACCTCTAGTATTACTTCCTAAAGGAAACTTAAATGGGGGGATGGACGGCATGAATTTCTCTCTGTCTATTACCCCCTTTGCTGGTCTGAACTATCTGGAATGGTTGAAAGGCATCAAACTTTATGTTTGATGCCTTTCATGAACTCGGCTTTATCTGGAATGGTTGAAAGGCATCGAACTCTCTGACTGGAAAACTCTTCTCTTGTTCTGTTCTTCTTGTTCTCTCAATCAGATCCTTCAACTTTACTTGTCTTTATTTTTCCGCTTTTTTATTGCTATTTATGGAAGATTACATGGTATCAGAGCACCTGTAATACATGATACTATGTGGTGGGGGCTATACGAATATCATGCATCTAAACAAATCAATGTATATTATATATTACATATAACATATATTTATATATTACATGTACTATAGAGGTTCGGGTTGGCTAAGGGGTCAACCCTAACCCAACCTGAAGTAAAGTTGGGTTCATGAATTTCAACCCTAACCCGAACATCAACCCAACCAACTTTTTCAGGTTAGGTTAGGATTGGGTTCGGGCCAACCCGGCCCAAGTTGCAGCCTTATTAATATGCTACTGTTAACAACTACTCAAGAAGACTCTTTACTCATTAAAAGAAGCAAAGCTCCAACTCCACTGTACCCAATTTTCAGTACTGAAAAAAAATAAAAAAAATAAAAAAATAAAAAAACACTACCTACCTGAATCACTAGGGCAATTTCATAGCCACACAATCAGGCTGCTGCTACACCACGTCACACCACTTGATCATCACAACTGATGGAGAACTGTGATAATTAGTTTGAACATCAAAATACACCCCTCTTCAGGCTGCTGATTAGAGGGAGTCTAGGAAACCACCAAAAAACTGTCAATGACTGAAACCTGAGGCATGGGTGCCTCCTACACCCAAAAATGGTCTGTCCTTTTTGATCCCAAGTTTTCCTTCAAAGTAGAGAGGAAGAAATGCTCTCAACGGAAAGGCTTCTTCTGATGTCAAAAACAGTCCAGGTTGATTTATTACAGGTGCTCTGATACCATGTAATCTTCCATAAATAGCAATAAAAAAGCGGAAAAATAAAGACAAGTAAAGTTGAAGGATCTGATTGAGAGAACAAGAACAGAACAAGAGAAGAGTTTTCCAGTCAGAGAGTTCGGTGCCTTTCAACCATTCCAGATAAAGCCGAGTTCATGACAACAGACCAACTTGGAAAAATTTGTATCACCACGTAGAAAAATGGAAAAATTTGGGGAAATTTCACCAAGTCTTACCAATATTATGAACTATGGTAGGACCCCCTAGCTCTCTACGTCAGATTGTCTTTGTTGTCCACCTAAGGAGGACTCCACTTTTTCATTTTCTATCTTCAGGTCTACTTCTCCCAACACCTTGGATAGTTGGGAAGGACAAGCACTGGGTAATGGTCTCTTTTTTTTTTTTTTTTATTTTCCCTGATTACATGCCAGTTTTTTGATGAAGTTTTATCTGGCTGTCTATTCAACCTATGTAGTGTTCTCTCCCTCTCTGTGATATCATGAACTCGGCTTTATGAAGGACTGCTCAAGTTGGTCTGTTGTCTGTAGCAGAATCCATGTCAACACATCCGTGCATGTGATTTATTGGGGTTCTGCTGAATCATTGTAACACCTTTAAGGGAACAGGGGAGGTTGAAAGCAACTTATAGATCTGAAATCTCTTAAAAGTGATTTGAAGAATAGAGAAGTCATATGAACATAGTTCTCAAGGTGCCAAGGCGAGGCTGGGTGTCAGGGGGGCACCTTGTCGCCTAGTCGCCTAGGCTATGGATTTTTTATATAGAAAACATAGATCCTAGGATAGTTCCTTAGGTACCATAGCCATATTTCCTTAATAATTATTCAGAATTTTCATAAGAAAAGTATAGAGTTCATGTCAAAGTATAGAAAATCAACATATTCATGAGAAGAAAAAAAGAAGGAAAAGAAAATTAAAAAAAATATAGGGCTGAACCCTTATTTTTGTTATAGGAAAAGAAGAAAAGAAAAAGTAGTAGTAGTAGAAAATGTGTTGATTAGACAAAATTTTAAGTTCTTCCTTGTTGGTTCAGGTTTTAAAGTCTTTGAGGGTTCAATAGAGCATTTAGCAATGTTTGTATTGATTGAATCCTAACAAATAAGAAAATAATAAAAACAAATTAGTATATAAACACACAAAATGAATATTTTAGTTTAATAGTGCCTATTTTATAATTATAATGTCAAAAAATAAAGAATAAAAAAGTATTTTACAATACATAGTACAAAACTGCTTGGCGATTAGGCGAGGTGAGCCTCAAAGGGCGCCTTGTCGCCTAGGCGTCGCCTTGACAACTATGCATATGAACAATAAGTTAATTCAGTTCAGCCACTTCAGCCAGTATCAAACAGCTCCTTAGAGTATTGCCTGATGGTTTGGAGCATCCAAAAACTGACACGACCAGAATCCACCAAGGTTTGCCAATATGTAGGTGGATTGATTAGCATGCTGCACCAAGGTCAGAGATATGCAACCCTCATAATTCATACACTACATATGCTGTTTTGACAGGTCTATCTGGTCGTCGATAGATAGCTACTGAAAATTATGTGGGAGAAAACCCCGAAGTTTTTGAAACCTATGAACTTTCATATTCTATGTTCTGATGCTTACTTTGTTGGTGACATCCCTAATTGTTAGTATTTTTCTAGCTTTACTAAGAACAATAGAATATTTTGCTTTTCCAAGTTTAACTTTTTGAGCTTAACATGCAGCATGTTGAAGCCCTTGAGATTCTGCTTCAGGGCCTTTGCGGGGTTCCCAAAGAACGCCTTAGGATCCACGAGTTATGCCTCAAAAGTGGGCCAAATCTTGGTAAGTAATTCGTTGCACAGCCTGCACTCTAAGTTGCTCCTTTCACGCATGCACAGACATTTTCCAGAGTTACTTACCTTTATGCTGACTGCAGAATTTCTTTATTTGCAACGAAACCAATATTATAGCCCTATGATCACGTCAGTACTTTTATTGGGAAAATTCCACGCCCTATCAATGCTACAATTATGCATTGAGTAGATGTGCATAAAGGATCATAAGAAAGGAAATTGATCTGTATATCTAGTATAGAGGAGATATTTACCCATTTGGGTCTCCCATGTCCATATGCATGTCTGCATGTTTCTATGTATATCTAACCATTACGGAGGATACCATTGCCAATGACTATACTTGTTCACTCTCCTGTGCAGGTTTTGTATATTTACTGCATATATCTCAAGATTTAACCAACATAGAAGAGAATGTCATGAGCCCATGCTATGAACTTTCTATGTTCAGATGCTTGGGAATTAACATACGGGCCAAGGAAGTTTTTGATCCAATTCCTGCTTTCCAGTACAACTATAATTTGAACTTTAGCAAATGGCTGCCAAACAGTGGCCAGGGCAACAGCACCTAACCACAATCCTAAATGGCTCTTCTTGGTATCCTGTTGGCATCTTCTTTAGGAGACAGTCCAATATCAAACATTATAAGTGCACATTTTCCTACATGATAATTAAGTAATTGACTTACAATGTGAAAGGCTTTGGCTAATTTACTTCCCTATTTCAGGAGCAGTGGCCTCAGAGGTTCGACTCTTATGTGATCTTGAACAACCTGAACCCACATGGTATAGCCTCCACTTGCTCTATTTTTTTTTTCATTAGGCTTTTTGACCTACTCCTGGAAAATCTGTGATTATGAATTTATAGGACTGTTCGGCATGTTGGGGGTGCCATGCGAGGTGCTGGAGCTGAGCAAATTTCAGTATTAGTGAGGACTGTGGTGGAAAGCAAAGCAAGCAAGAATGTCCTGCGCTTCTTTTATACACTTGGTTACAAGTTAGACCATGAACTCTTGAGGGTGGGTTTTGCCTTCCATTTCCAAAGGGGTGCTCAAATCACAGTCACTGTAACTTCAGTTAATAAAATGCTGAAGCTCCATGCAACAGAAGAGGCTGTACCAGTGACACCTGGTATACAATTGGTTGAAGTGACAGCCCCTGCATCTTCTGATAACTATACTGAAGTTGTTGCTGCCATTTCATCATTTTGTGAATACCTTGCACCGTAAGTACATCTTATCTTGAAAAGTGAACTAGAAAAAAAGCTGTTTAGACCAACTTAAGCTTTCATGCGGAAACATGCAGTACAAGTTGGTAACACCAGCTGACAATTCCTAAATGGCCTGATATATTGATCGCAACCATCAATATATGGAAGATGGTCAGTAAAAAATGGAAAGGTACTTTGCTAAAGAACCAGTGTTATAAATGTGGTAAAGTGATGACTAGTTGTTTGACCTCTCCAGTTGATGTCTAGGTGCTAACTAGTGAAAAAATAGGGATTATTTTAAATTTAAGATATTGATGCAATCTTATAATTATGCAAGAAAAGTATTATATTGAACATTTAGTTTATGGTATTTGTTTTACAAACAAAGAAGTCAGGCTGGATAGGCTAGGACAGTGAATCACAGCCTTGGTTTTCCAAATAAGAGTGCCACCTTACTATTAGATGTGCCCTTTGTTTGTGGCACTCTATACCAACACCCGACTGATCGGAAGAAAACTTTTATGAACTCATCCACTGCTTTCTTTTATTTTATGATTTTTTTTCTATTTATGTATTATTATTATTATTATTATTACAATTACATTCATATTTTTAAGCTTTTCCATGCTTAAAAAAGCAATGCTAAAATTTTCGACATCCCAATTTTACTGGAATGATTTTTTCATCCAATCTTCTATAAAGAGTGAACTTTAATCTTGCCAATTTTTACGGGCTTTGAATTTCAGGCTCCTGCATTTGTCGAAGCCAAATGTTTCAGCAGGGGTTGTCCCAACTGCTGCTGCTGCTGCTGCTTCTCTCATGTCAAATGGTGGTGGTAAGACTCTATAGTTAAGTAGTACTTTTTGAATTCGATCAAAAATAGTACTTTTTGAATCTGTAAGTTGTTCCTCCATGACTAAACGTTTTTCTTTTTTTTTTTTTTTCTTTTTGATCAGTAACATAATTTTTTTTAATATGTGACAAAGAATATGTGGTATATACAATGTAGTATGCCAAGCATCCCAGATCCGCTATACTATTTAGTCGATTTTTGAGTCCAAGGGAAGCTAGCTTGAGTAAACCTTGATGAACTGAATAAGAAACCGGGAGGTTCTTACTATCGGTGTCATGTATGGAACGACTGGCATCAGTTGTAAGGTTATTATCCAAAGATGTTTCTCAATTTATTTTTTATTCAACTGTGGGTCTTAACTTCAGAATTCAGCTTCCCCCACCATCTTTCTTTCCTCTGTAAGGCTAGATTCCCCTCGTCAAAATTATAAAAAGAAAAGGGAAAAAGAAACTGCAAGCTAAAGAATGTTAAGGTAGGTTCACCCCAAGCATACTGTGCAGTTGTAAAATTACATTGTTTCTGTCGGTGTTTACGAAATTGGACCTGACCAATTTGTTAGACTGGTTGAATCTTGATTTGGGACTATATTCAATTCATTCATACCTTAGAAACCGAATATGTAGCGAACCACTCAAAACCAGTTGATTGGTTGGTTTAATTGGTGAAGCAGTCCTAATTTCCAGGAGCTGCTTGGATTTCAAATGTGTGGAATTTTCAATATGCAAATGACAATATACGAACCCATGACCCTTTTTCTATGTATGTAGTCTTTTTATCATTAATCCTCAGGCCAATTAGTTCAAAACTTGAGTGACTAGCCATCTGTCCATTACCTTCAAGTATAGCATTATTTGTATTATATATTATTTATAGTATTTATCTGACATGTTGTGAGTTTGATCACGGTTGAGTCTCACCTATGAACCTCTACCCTTTTTGGTTTTATGTCTGGTCATGTTTTCTGAACATTGTTTTTTTTTTGATTGAGAGTTCTTGGTTTCCAAAAACAAAAGCTACCATGTTGAATGCCCCCTGCTCCCTTTTTTGTTTCTTTTTGGTAGCAATCTTTACGACTCTATCCCCTTTCCCATAGGATCGCGAACCAACAGAATGGAGTATCAATGGATTGTAATTTGGAGGTGGATCCACATTTTATCGAGTTATCAATGGATTGCGATGGAGGGAGATTTGGCCTGACCCCTTGGCCACGTGACACGTGGAAGCAATCAAGAGTGACCTGATAGAAGCGCCAGTTCGGCATGGCAAGGGGCCCACGACTCGAGCTCCTTAAGGAAGAACCCGAGCTCTTCCTTCGAGGTCCTGAGCCTTACAAGGAGCGCAAAGGGCAAAAACCCGAGCTGACCCACCCCGGGACAGTTCGGGCCACGCTTTTATCCGAATTCAAGATTTCACCTCGCACACCACTTTGGCTCCAAGTCGCCTAACTGAAAAATCGTACCTGACGCCAAGGAAGCCCGTACACGGAGGCAGCACGCTTGACTGATTAGGGGTCTGACACATGACAGCCGCCTTCCAAATGGCCACTTGCCACTGCCATCTCAGATGTGGCAGAGACGACCCTGACAAGGATAGACAACGGCGGTTATGACACCCGAACTGGCGTCTTGCAGAGATGATGACACCCGATCTGGCGGAGGTGATGATACCCGATTTGGTAGAGGTATGGGAGTGAGTGTACAGGGTGATTATAAAAGGCCCCCATCTCCTAAAGAAGGAGGTATGTGTGATTTCTGCGCTTTCTGGTCTTGAAGTTCCTCATTTTCCTTGCCTTCTCAAGAGCACTAACTTGAGCTTCGGAGTGTTCCAACCGGGTTTCTCCCCGGAAGTCTCCATTTTCTCTCTTGTTTCAGGCACCTCCAATTTCGACAGAGGCGAGGTAACCGACAGTTAGGACCGACCGGATTGCGCACCATCATTTGGTGCCATCTGTGGGAAGACTTCAAAAAGCCTCCCCTAACCTCTAACTCTCTCTCTCAAAGAAACCTTAGCTCCCATGGCTTCTTCCAGCAGCAACAGGCACTACGCCAACTTGAATGTTGTAGGGGAACACCCTCAGCCCGCCACTATATGCATCAAACAGTTCACCGTCCCCCTCTCGACGGACGAAATCCCTAGCCTCAATGCACAAGCATGGTGGCACCTGTGAATGTTCCCCTTTCCCTCCCTATCGAGACAACTTCCGCCGAACCAACCGCTGTCCCTCTGGCGGCTAGCCAGAACCAGTTTGATGACTTGATGCAGTGCATGCGGGCAATGCAAGCCCAAATGCAGCAGTTCCAGCAACATCAGCTCCATCAGCACCAAGTACTACACCACATTTCTCTGTGTCACTATCAACAGCAGTTCCCCCAACTGCCTCTGAACCAACCATAGCTCCCTCCTCGGCACCCCGCTCCGAAGCCGGTCAAGCCCCCCCTCAGGGTGGGTGCCTTCACCGAGGAGAAGCCTCCCAACTTCAGAACCCCTCCAAGAGCCAAGCCTCATCCCCGGGCAGGAGGGAAAGACTAATTATCCCCACCTCGCATCTCGTTGGCAGATCGGGAACCTCCTTGCCAATCAAGTCAGCACCTCGACACTCTAAGTTCGAGCTCCCGCTCACATAGAACCAATTCGGCATCTTGGCAGTGGACTACCAGCAGTTCGGGCCGATCGAGCTCGACAACACCGAGGCAAGTAGTGCCAATACTAGGCCTAAGCAATAGCGGAGTCGCCGACTAAGTCGCCGAATTACCACCCGCATCCTGCCTGAGTTTCGAGGTAAAGAAGAAACAAGCTCGGACGAGGTAAAAGTTGCCCCTATTCTTTCAGTCCCTTCCCCCCTGTCATCAGAACTCCTTGCAGTCCCCATGCCCAAGGATTTCAAACTCCCTTCTCTAGACAAGTATGGTGGGTCCTTTGACCCCAATGATCATGTCGATGCTTTCTAGTCCCAAATGCACCTAACAAGGGCCAGTGAATCCTGCATGTGTGTGGCATTCACTACAACCTTCACGGGAGTGGCCCACACCTAGTATAGGAACCTGGCCCCCGGGTCGATAAGAAGCTGGACCTAGTTCGTGCAGGTCTTCATCGCGCACTTGGTTACCAGCAAGCGGTGCCCCCGAACCGAGGAGAACCTCCTCGGGATAGTCCAGAGGGAAGGAGAGTTCATCCGGGGCTATATCAAGCGGTTTAATGACGCGTGCTTACAAATACCGCGCCTAGAGCTCGCGGTGCAGCTCGCGGCAGCCAAGAGGGGAGTGACACACAAGGAGTTCAAGTGGCACATGGTAGTTAACCAGCCTGCAACCGTGGCTGAATTCCTCAAGCTCGTAGACAAATTCATAAGAACAGAGGAGTAGATCAACCAAAGGACTGAAAGCGGGATCGAAAAAGGAAGAGGGAAGGCGAGCCCTCCAACCCAGATGACAGGAGAAAAAAAGACCCAGCACGGGGGCTGAAGCCAAGCCAGCCGTTCCGAGCTCCCCTAGCAGGTCGGACGGACTACACGCCCTTAAACGCGAAGTGGGCCGAGATCTTAATGATGATCAAAGACGCATGTTAAGTGGCCACCTCGTCTGAAGGGAAACCTGAACGAGAGGAATAAAAACTTGTACTGCAGCTTCCATAGGGACCACAGTCATAGCACCGAACATTGTAATAATCTCCGCGACGAGATAGAGGAACTTATCCATCGCGGATACCTACAAAATTTTGTACAACATAATAATAATAATAGTAATAAGACAGGTCGGCAGGGAGAGCACAGCAGAGACGCTCCTGAGTCTAGCAGCCGGCCAGCAGAACCGCAGAAGCAGCCCCCGGAGGAAAGACCAGTTCGGGGAACAATCCACGTGATCGTTGGAGGATAGATCGTAGCAGAGTGCACATCGGCAGCAGCTCGGGCATCAACCCGGGAGGCCGCCAGAGAAGAACAAAATCCCCCAAAGTGGCGACAGAAGACCCCATATTCTTCAATGAAGAGGATGCGCGCGGGGTCCACTACCCCCACGACGACGCACTTGTCATAAAGATGAAGATCAACGACTTCGAAGTCCGGCGCGTACTCATTGACTCCGGCAGTTTGGCAGACATCCTTTTTAAAGCGGCCTTCGACAAACTCCAGTTCCGAGAGAGTGACTTGAAGCCTGCGAACACCCCGCTGTTCGGCTTCAGCGGAGAAGAGGTCAGACCCCTGGGAAAGGTCACAGTACCTGTGGAAGTCGGCACGTGGCCTAGCACGGTAAGACTCAGCCACGATTTCTTGGTGGTCGCGACCCCCTCACCCTACAATGCCATAGTAGGTCGGCCGATCACCCACGCTTTAAAAGCCGTGGTGTCCACTTACTATTTAGCCATGAAGTTCCCAACGGACTTCGGAATCGGGATAGTCCGGGGCGACCAGCTCCAGTCCCGTAAGTGCTACGTTGCCGCCCTCAAGGGAAAGGCCAAGGTAACCGGTGACCTCAAATTGGAGCGACCAGTGGAACAGAACGAGGAGCGAGCTGCACCAACAGAGGAAACTGTTCCCACCCCTGTCACGACAGGAGACCCCGCCAGATCACTTCAGGTCGGGGCGTCCTTAGAAGAACCCTTGCGATCTGAACTGATACGCTTCTTACTCAGTAACTTAGATGTTTTTGCTTGGTCCACGGCAGAAATGCCCAATATAAACCTTAAGCTCATAACTCACAAGCTCAATACTGACCCTGTAGTTAGGCCCATTAGACAGAAGAAACGCAACTTAGCCCCAGAATGCTGGATGGCGGTCAATGAGGAGGTCGAGAAGCTCCTCGCAGCAGACTTCATAAGGGAAGTTCATTACCCGAGCTGGGTAGCCAACCCCGTTCTGGTAAAAAAGGCAAACGGCAAGTGGCGCATGTGCGTCGACTACACTGACCTGAACCAAGCTTGCCCAAAGGATTGCTTCCCCCTCCCAGGATTGACTGCCTAGTAGACGCGGCCTCGGGACATGAGTTGCTATGCTTCCTGGATGCCTACTCGGGCTACAACCAAATCAGGATGGACCTAACCGACGAGGAAAAAACCGCCTTCGTAACCGAGTTCGGCCTGTACTGCTACAAGGTTATGCCCTTCGGACTGAAAAATGCTGGGGCAACCTTTCAAAGGCCTGTGAATAAGCTGTTTCAACCCTTAATTGGCACAAAGATAGAATGTTATGTAGACGACATGGTCGTCAAAACACAGTTTTTGCATCAATTGATACAAGATCTGCATTCTGTATTTCAAATTCTGCGCCAATTTAACATGAAACTAAACCCAAATAAGTGTGTCTTCGGTGTCACCTCGGGTAAGTTCCTAGGGTATATCGTCAACCGACGTGGT